GGGCTAAATCCTAGCAGGGACCTAATCATACTTTTAAAAAGATTTGGGGCAAAAAGGATAATATAGAAAGTATGTCCAAAAATTCCATGAGAAATGAGGAATCTAGAATTGGTCAGTGGTCAAATAAAATAGTAAAGACGGAGATGGAACAACTTTTAAAGTGAAATTTGGGCAAGGAGCGAATTATCATCTTGAAAAGTTTCAATCAAGGAAGGACGGTATTGTAAACTATGCCCAAAATTCATGAAAATTCATTAAAAAATAAAGTGCCTAGAATAGTATTTGAGGCTCATAAGGTGAAAACAGAATGAGAATGATTTATTAGAGAATCTTTTATAATTACTAAAATTTTGACTAAATTTGAAAAAAAATAGTCAAAATCAATTATTATATATATGGATGTACATGCATATGTGAAAGTAAGTTGGAAGCAAGGATGCATTACCTGCACAAGTGAGACGAGGGAAAGGAAAAGAAAAAATCGAGCAAACTATACACATTGATGAAGAAGGAAAAAAACATGGTTGACATTCCTGACATTCCTGACATTCTGCCATATATGAATATGTAACTGATTGATTGAGAGGAAAAGACGTGGTGACAAATTGACAGAGAGAAGGATGAACTATTCATGATTTAATTTAGAAAGGAAAAGACTGTTCCAGCTTTTGTGACAATTGGGGGGGTGCGTAGCGGAAGAAGAAGAGGGAATAACGTGAGGTTTTTCACAGATAGGCCTTTGAAAGGTATATAATCAATTATATTTTAGTTAATTTTTTATAACTAAAATTTAAATACATTTATTTAAGTTATCCAAATATTAAAATTTGATTAATGTAGATGATATTTTCATAACTCCATGACAAATCTCAACCTCTTAAAATCTTGAAGGTCTTTTAATAGTATTATTTAATTTACTATTAACTATTAACTAATTATATATATAAAATAATACTACCTTTTCTAATAATGTATTCCATGTCAAAACTGACTCCCTAAGTTAAAAAAAAAAAAAAGATGTTACAATTTCCAAATCCTCCATGCTGATAAAAAAACCACACATATCTACAAAATAGAAAAACCCACCAAATATCACTGAATGATCAAACATTGAAATGAAAGCAACAGAATAAAATAGGAGAAAAAGGTTTAAAAAAAGCCATCAACCTCTAACTTTGTATCTTGGAACCCAGTCATACTCTATATCACTAACACAAGTAAATTTAAAGTTATGGCGAGGAATCCAGTGCAGAGGCTGCTCAACATTAGTGTTAACCATGGGAGCAATGTGGTTGGTACTGTGAATGCTTTCACCACCAAACCAGACCATAAAGTTCTGAATAAAATAAACCTTTCTCAACTTCAGCACATTACAGAATCAATCTGAGTTCATAACTATCCAAGGGAAGCAACACGTTAGTACACTGAACAATTCAAAGGTTAATGATGTGCACCATGAAGAACCAAAGCAAAATAAGCTCCTTTCATGGAGTTCAAGTAAAAGCTTCTCTGCATTTTCAAAGAAAATAAACTTTGTGGAACCAAAAAAATATATAAAAGAAAGAAAGCAGAGACAGAGACATGCTGCTTACCTCCTCATCAAAAACCCCCATGTGCAATGAAAGCAACTTCTTTGGATAGCCATAATTACGGTCATATATATCAAAACCAATGCGCAAATAATGGATCGACTACACAAATCCTACAAAAAGCCCGATGAACTCTGCGAAGCTACACAAAGAAAGTGGAAAGCTCGAAACACAATGAAATGCGTGGATTGCAGCGTCTGGCACAATATAAATAAGCACCAAGCCATTAAATTTCTTCTGCCTACCACACAGAAATAACCCACCAAGCTGCATTGAATTCCCATCTATCGACATAGATATCACAAAGGACGGATATAACACAAAGGAATGAATACTACAAAGGAATATAATGTTGGTACCTCAACTGAAATTTTCCCTTTGTGCAAAAATTTAATGATGGAAGTAGCTGAAGCAAAACATTAGACTCAACACTTACATAGCAGGTCTTAAGAAGTAACTGACCAATAACTGCCATGCACGCATGTGATATTTGAAAAATGGGTGGGAACTCTTTGCTGCATGAAGGCAAAGGAATTTGACTGTTACTTTTCAATTAACCGTCACTTTTTATAGAATAGTAATTTGAGTAAGTAGCCGTTGAGGATGATAATATGACTCGGCTCATAAGTGATTTTGATTTATTATTTATTGTTGATCATATCTATTTCACTCGCTTTTTATTATCCATTGCTAATTTTGAATTTTAAAACACAAAAGAAACAATTCAAGAGACAGTAAGCCATCTTATATCGCAACAACGAATATGGCAGGCCAACTGTGTTGAGAAAAAGCATTGACATGGAAATGAAGAACATGAAACACACTAATGGTCAAGCTCTTGTTTACATGCTCGAGACAATAATTTCACTTAACATTTCATGAAGATTCTAAAATGCAAGTAGCTGTTATCAAATTCATTTGTTTGGACTTGTCAAAGCTTGAGTCTAACTATTATATAGTAAGCATAATATTCATAATAGATCATAACATATACATATATGCACGCGCTATCAATGGTTGAGATCGCGTTTTGGTAAATGAATCACACAAATTCATTAAAAATGAAAGGCCAAGATTAGTTTTCACAAAGCGAATCACATCTAACACTCTACCCGATGTTGTTTCGCTGATAAGCAACTCATCCCTTATAATAAGTTGGCAGAAATCATGTTGCTTTTAGAAAGTTGCCAATGCCAAAGTAATCAACATCAAACCAGATCATATACTAAATATAAACAATGGGCACGAAAAGTATCCCATACAAAGCCTAGTCAAAATCAGTAGTCAATCAGAAAAAGTTTAAATATTTTTCAAATCTTATACTTCTTAAAAATGAAGTTCAGATATTATTAGAAAAATGACACTTAGATCCCAAAAGTATTAATTTAATGATAATTATATTTTTTTAAAATTATTAAAAATATATAAATATCGAGTCACACAATTACAAACATAAGATTTAACAAAATTCTAAGGAATTATATGTTAGCACCTTAGATTTTTGGGATTTGTCATCCTACACTGTGAAGAAACTTGAAAAAACTTATATGAAATACAATAAAATACTATCTCCATTCTTTAATATAAGATCCCATTTGATTTTTATGTTGGTCCTAAATATAAGACTCCAATCCATTTTGTCTATCATGTTTACTCAATTTTTTTCAAGATAGTCTTTCTAATAATTATAATTTTAGCTGACACACTTGATTAATAAGGATATTTTAGGAAAACAACACTTATTTATTACAAATAACTAACTTAACTTCTTTCTTTAATTTCCTCAAATTGGTCAACTAGTTGTTATAATTAGGACCGTAGTATTGAAAAAAAAAAAAAAGAGGGAAAGGTTGTTTCTTATAAATTTTAGAATTAATACATTTAGCATTTAAAATTTAATTTCATTTGATTTTGGTTATTGAAATTGGAAATTAATAGCTTTGGTCTTTCAAATTTGACTTTATGGTGGTCTGCTTAAAAATTTTTGGTTAAATTTTACGGAGCAAAACTAAAATAAAAGCTAATTTTAGAAACTAAAAATGATATTAAATCTAAATTTTATTTTATTAGTTAACTTGATCCCAAATATAGGAGTTAGTTGAAAATTTGTTTTATTCTTAAATATAATATTTTAATCCATTTTATCTTAGTTTTTTTTAAAGTATTGTTATTAATTACATATATGAAAGAGGTTTTTTTTAATCAATAGAGTAATAATTAATGAACAATTCATATGAAGTTATTAAACCAAGTTTTTCAATCACAAATGATGATGTTTTCTATTTTTAAAATATTATTATTAAATTATAAACTCACAAGACAAAATATGACACATATCCATATGTGAATGAGTTCGAAAATTTAACACAATGAGTACAAAAATTTAATCTAAGTACTTTTCATAATTAAATATGTATTCTAAGAAAATAAATAACTACTCCCTCCGTTCCTTATTATAAGAGATGAATAACCGAATTACTTTGATAAAAAAAACAGTTAAAATTAGTTAAGAACAATTAATGTATAAAAACTACAATTTTTTTTCCAAATATATCCTCATTAATAAGGAGAGAGAGTATGAGAGAGAACAATTAAATTATTAAAAGAAAGAGAAGTTGAAGGGAGGGCGAGTGTGAGTTGGAGACAATAGATATGGATAAAATAGGAAATCAACACAAAAAAGTAAAGATAATTTTAAGTATCTTTTATATATAGGAACATGCTATAAGTATCAAATATCTCTTATAATAAAAAAACGGAGGAAGTAATTTGTTTAATAAATTAATTATCTATCCCAACCTATTAAGAGAGTAGGAAACATTATTTTTGGTACATTTTAAATTTTATTTTAACGCACCAAAGACTTGGGGTGTGGGGGAAAGAAAAAACTATGCACTCTCATTTTCATACCTCTTTCTTTTATCACGCTATGGGGTAGCTATTAAAATTTAAAAGTCACACACTTTTTGCAACTTGCAATGACCAATTACTTTAAAGCAATTCGTGCAGAATAAATTCCGGGGTCAAAAGTAGTTAAATATTTATGTCTCCTTCTTTTATTAGCCTTTGCCAAAAGTAATAATTGTGTCTCAAAACTAAATCAATCAATCAATGTCTTTCTTTTCTTCTGTCCCGTAATCTCTACTTTAATATTCCTGACCGACTGACTTTTTGATTAGCCAAAGATTCTTCGAACTTTTGATTCCATAATTTTTCTGAGTTCGCTTTTGGATTTTCTCTCCCATTTGTTTCCAAAATTTTCCACCGTTTTCCCTTCCCTCTGGTTGTCTCAGACAATTCTCCTTTCGGTTCTTACAACGTTGGACCAACCTTGTTTCTCGTTTGCCGAATGGATTTCGAGCGTTGGCGATGGCGGTGGTTTTTGCTGTTGATCGGTGTTGCTGCTGCTAGTGCTTCAGAAACCAGGCAGCATGTTGTTTCTCGAATTGCCTTTGGATCATGCTCCAACCAAAGCGCTCCTCAGGTTCCGATTCTTTCTCCTTTTGTTTGTCTCTTTTCTCTTTCCCTCTTCTGTTTTTATTCCAATTCTTTTCTCGTTTTTGGTTTGCCCGATGCGTAACGTTGCTCTGTTTTTGACCACTGTTACGTAATGGTGCTCCTAGAAGCTGACTTTGATGATTCTGTCTGTTTTCCGGTACATAGTTTAGAATATTTTGACTTCGCCCACTGTAGCGGAACTGTGTAAAAGAGACAAAAATGCTCAAATAATTGGTGTATGGATGCTATTCGTGCAGCTGAAAGAAGCAGAGGTGGAGATGAACATCAATAACATAACCATTTTAATAAATCGAGATGCCCATGGAAATGAGTTTCGTCCCAAAGAATAGTTCTCTAGGTGGAAGAAAACGTAACTTTTAATATTTTACAGCAATTTCAGATTGAAATACAAGGTGGCGGAGATTTTAGTTAACAATATTGAAGTTTATGGCAGATGCCTTCCTTTCTATTATATCATAGGCAAGACTATGCTGCCTTAGATTTTCAGTAGATCCAAGTTATCAAGAGTCGGAGCTGCATATTAGATGCTTTCCGAGCATGGCCCTGGCCCATCAAGCTAATTTATTGGTTTGAGCATGAGTTGCAATCTGACACTAGATCCTTGATTGACGAGTTTTCTTTGGCTGCTTTCTCTAAACCACCTTCTTCCCAGCTCAAGTTCGATATATGTTATCTTTGGGATCTTTATTGGGATGATTAAATGAAATGTCAAAAGTTCATGTTTCAACTCACTGTATCGAAGTTATATGCCTATACTGTATATTTAATATTGTATTTTTGAAGGAAAGCTCATATCAAATTCGGTTATATTATGTTATACATGGTGCTTCCTTTCTGAGTGATATTCTTTCTGATGCCCATTGTAACCCTGTCTTGTGGTTTTATGCCAGCCCATTTGGGATGCAATAGTCGATTTCCATCCCCAGATTTTTATATGGATGGGTGACAACATATATGGAGACTTGAAGCGGCCTTTTAAAATCTTTGGACCAGAAAGGACAATTGGGCCATGGAAGAACATTCCACGATTCTTCTCTTCCTCTCGGCAAGAAATGGAGGCTAAATACAGGGAAGCCAAGACCAGTCCGGGCTATTCTCAACTTCGAGAAAAAGCTGAGGTGTTAATCCTAAGCTTTTGTACTCTTTTGTGTGTAGAGATTCTCAATAGAAACATAACTTCTTTTTTCTATTATTTCTGGGGGAATTTACTAAAGCAGTGGCAAGGTTTGCTCAGGTTATGTAGCCTAACTTTAACATTTGGAATGTTATAGGTTATTGGTACTTGGGATGATCATGATTATGGATTAAATGATGCAGGAAAAGAATTTTCTGAAAAAATCACCAACCAAGTGCTGCTTCTTGATTTTTTAGATGAACCTCAAGATAGCCCAAGGTTGGTGGATAGTCCCCTTTGTTGTTTATGATATTGGACTTATCTGGGTACTAAATTATGTGATTATTTTACTTTCTGTCCGAGATAGCTAATAAATAATTCTTAGGTCAAGTGTTGAGTGCAGTAGCACATTCTCTTTCTTCAGAGACAGTAATAAAAGTCTACATTCGGCCATTGTCTTCATATGTGATCAAGTTCATTAAAAGATCTGTCGGCAGAAAAAGCTGATGGAGGTGCTCATTGTACTTTTTTTATTGCAGGCGAAAGCAGGCCGGCGTATATGCATCATATGTATATGGTCCTATGGGTAGAGACATCAAGGTATTCGACTTAAACCTCACTGTTGTTTATCTTTTTTTAATCTCTATTATTTATTTATTTAGTTTCCCACAAAATCCCGATATCAGTGTGATTCAATAGCCGTTAGATAATCATGTAAACCTTTCGGTTGATCGTTTAAGCATGTGCATGGTACTACACCTGTTATTTTGTGGATATGAATCTTCCAGATTATCCTGTTAGATACCAGATACCACAGAGACCCTGTAGGAAGTGATGGAACCATCTTGGGGAGTTCACAGTGGCTATGGTTGGAGCAAGAGCTAAAGGGTCCAGCTACAGCCATTACCTTAATAGGATCTTCTATTCAGGTACAGCTATTAGTTGCCAACTTCTTATGATCCAAGAGATAGATCATTATGTGTAGATTCATGTGTTCACTGAACTCAATGCAGTATTTATGCATGAATCTTGCATTTTTACACAAGAAATATTATGCTTGTTGATGGTGTGGGTTTCTTTTAATATGCGTCAAGAAAAGAATGGAAATTGTGTCTGACTCAACATATGGGTTTCGGCGCTTTTATAGCTTTTGGGTTCCTGCTATGTAAACCTTGTGATCTATAATAGATTCAACTTTCTGCTTGAATTGTTATATCTAGTGGGATAAGGCTTTGTTGTTGTTGTTGTAAAAAGTAATGAAAGAATTTGTGGCACAATTGATTACATTGTTTTGTTTTGTATACTGATTTATAGGTTTACTTAATCTGCATGTCAGGTTATATCAAATCTTTCAGCAGCCACTCGCCCACTGTTTGCTATGGAATCTTGGGGTCGTTTTCCTAAGGAGAGAGATCGGCTTTTCAAAGTAATAGCAGATAGTAAGGTAGTAATTTCATTGTATCTTTTTTGGGAAAAAAATATATTTGCACTTTTCTTGTCGAGGAACTACTTAGTACTAAAATCTACATAGTGTTGAAAGAAGTCATTTAACATTCTATTCACCTTTTCTTATTGTGAAGAGGAACGGAGTGCTCTTTATAAGTGGGGATGTTCACTTTGGGGAAATCACAAGATATGACTGTGCACTGGACTATCCACTGTATGATATAACTTCTAGTGGGTTAACTCAATCAATTGAGGAAGTAGTCCCACCTTCCTTGCGTTTTCTAGTGAGATTCATTGCTTGGTTAACCCCATCTACAATGAGAGTTAAGGGTCAGAACTGCAGATACAAATCTTGTATATATGGTATAGCTGTGTTCTTTTATCTTAGTGATGAATGAGATATACCAAGGATTTAATGTTCTGATGTTTCAAATGTTGGATTTTTTTCACTTAGGCAAACCTAATTTTGGAACTATTGAGATAGATTGGGATTCTCACCCGGTGACAATGAAATTGGAAGTCAGGGATGTAGATGGAGTTCCTGTGACAGGTGTAAATGTTTCATTATTGGAACTACAGAAATCAAAGGTTGAGGCTCGGAACAAAGTAAAAGCTGGACATTATGAGAAGCATTGCTCTCTTGAAACTTGTCTGCCATGGATTATAAGATATCGTCTGGCTATCTTGTTCTTGTCCATCTTAGCTGGTAAGTCACTTCTAAATCCTAACTCCTAGCTATAGAGTTACCACCTAAGCCCGTCAATACATGTTAGTTCTTGAAATTACTATTGTCTGTTACTGTCATAGGCTGGCTAGGGAACATGAAAACAAGTTCTCCTAGAAATAAGTTTTATGGTTTCTTGTAACAATATTAGTAACTTGCTATTTCTAGGCATTTCTCACTAAGATTTTATTTTCGGCAAAAGTGTAGTGTATTTTTTGCACTTCAACTTTACACAATTTCAAGTTGATTCTTTAATTTTATGAAGTGTTTTTTAGTCTTTCAAACTCTAACGCCATTAATTTCATTAACTAAAAGTACTAATATTACAATTTTAAATTCATTTTAATTTTTTAAAATTAAAGTCAATATGTTGACATTTAAAATTGCAAGGTTGGCATTTTTTTGTTAATGAGACTAATAGTATTAGGGTTAGAGAATTAAAATAACACTTTAGAGAATCAAAAGGTTAAATATAAACTTTGTAAAAGCTTAAAGAACACTGTGTACTCTCTTGCCATTTTTTTATCACTTTTTTTTTGTTTTAACTTTTTGTAAGCATCTTTCGATTGCATTTGTGATTCCTTGGTCTTTGTTTAATAGTCCTTTAAATATTTGTGTCAGTCTCTTTTTTTTAACATATGAAATATAGTATTGTGGATCCTGAACAATTTCTGGCATCCAATTTGTGACGTTCTGTTTGATTCTGCAGTGTTGCTTCTTGTGCTCCTTGGGCTGGCTTACGCTATCATTAAACTTGCCAGCTGTGGAGTCTCCAAACTCAAGAATGATTGAGATTTGTGGTTCTTCTCTCTCACATCCCTTTTCTTTCTTTCTTTCTTTTTCTTCTAGGAAACATAGTTTGAGATGAGCCCTAGTGTTTATAATTTATGAGTAATATATTCAGTAAAAAAAAAAATCCTCTCAAAAATATTATGAGTAATATGACTTGTTTATAAAATTCATTACAAATTTATAATACAGCAATTTAGGGTTCGTTTGATAGGAGAGAAATGGAAGGAAGTGGAAGAAAATTTTTTATAAACTCAATTTATAAAATCGAAGAAAGAAGGTTATAAAATTTTGATAAAGAGAAAAATGTTAAATAAAAGTGAGAAAAATTAATTAAATGTTTTTAACTTTATTTTTCTGGTTTTTTAAAGCAAGTTTATAAACTCCAACCCCCCAAAAAAAAAATCTCGTCCAATTTTAGGTCTGTTTGGATTAACAAGTAAAAAAAAGTTTTTAATATGAATTTTAGAAAAGTTAGATTGGGTAATATGATTTTTATTTAGTTTAAATTTTATAAAAATTAGTTTGTAAAGTAAAAAAGTTGTTAGGATTATGACCGGATAAGTAAGTTTAGTTTGTAAAATGATCAAAATAGGTATGATTTAAAGTAATAAAAATGATTAAAATATGAATTTATAAAATATAATAATTTTAAATTACTTTAATAGGAAGAAGTTAAATTTAGTGAATGAAATATATTTAAAAAATTAGAAATATTATAAGAAATTATTTATGTCAATATAAAATAAAAAATGACTCTAACAAGTTAAACATTATTTATTGTAAAATATTAAAATTAAAATAATTCTTAATAAAAAGCATTAATTAAAAGAGTTCGATTAATTTAAGAAGTTTTATAATTCATCAGCAACAAATTATATGAGGAAAAAAAATTAATTCTCCGCAAGAAAAAGTAATAATTTAAATAATTACTAATATATTATATTATAAAATAAGTATTAGAGGAGATTATATCAAATTCTTATTTTTCTTTTTTCTTCATATTTCATTTTTCCATGTTATTCTGGCTAATTTTTTCTCCCAAAACTAGACGTAAAGACAAAGGAATGAACGAAAACACCACTGCCTCCCTCCCTTCCTTTCTTTGTCTCAAACCAGTAACCACGATTTTAAAAGCTACAAGCAACTTTCACCAACTTGTGCCAATCGTAGAAAATAAGCTATTTTTGCCTTAAAAGTCATATGGACGAAAAGAGAAACCAAACACAAGAAGAATTAGCCAATTTGGCTTTTGGTCCATAAGCAGCTTATAAATCATTTTTTAAGTGACTCCAAACAGGCTCTTCGTCATACCAAGCGAAGGAAAACACTCAACAAAGTGAATGTTTGGATAAGAAAATTCCACTGCTAAATCGATTGGGATAAGCATGTATTAAGCTTCTACATCAGATCTAAATATTTTTTTAAAATTTTTTTGGGGTCTCCCTTTAAATTCTGTCTAACAAGTGAAAGTGTATGTTGTTTTGTGCTAAGTATTTAAGCTGTTTAGTGTTGATTAGAGTCGATAATACAGGTCAACCCACCAGTTATGGGTTGACTTGTGGTGGGTTCAAGTATCGAAGGGCTGGTCCTAAAAGGACTAACTTCTGGCGGGCTGATATGGCCTGCTAACTCACCACTTATTTTTAAAATTTTTTTGTGTCTTTTATTTTCTCTTAATCAAATCTATTCCAATTCTTAAACACCTAAAATAAATTATACAAATAGAAATTATCAAAAATAAAATATGAATTCCAAAGTTCCAAACATCTCAAAATATTAAGCATATATGATATATCATCCTAAATTATTAAACATATATCCAAAATTAAAACATAACAAATCTAAATCAACAATAACACAAACACAATGTTACAAATCACTATTAATTGCTTAGTCATGAGTCACCATTTAATGTTGATATAGTTTGAAGAATGATATGAAAATGTGAAATTATTTGGTTGAGCTTGATAAGTAAAATCACCTTCTTTTTGCTCAACTAACTTTGCCACAAATAAAATTTATAATACAAAGTAAAAGATATATTACATTATGGTAATTTTAAATAATGAGAATGAGATAAATGGTCAAAAAAGTAAACATAATTATATTTGAAGGGTGGGAAAAATTTAAAATAAAATAAAATAAAACAAGCTAACCCGCTAATCTTGTGGGTTAACTTACTGCGGGTTTGTTTTGGTGGTTACGAGCAATATCCGTTTTAAAATGAGCCTAATTTTTATCAACCCAATGTACCACTTTTTGGCAGGTTGGCAAGTTGAGCCCGTGAGTTCAACCCATATTACTGGCTCTAGTGTTGACAAGGCCCGTCAAATCCTTCCTTGGTACTCCACTACTAAACCTCTTTGATTCTTTACTATTTATTTTATTTTTTAAAACTTTTTGGCCTACTCAGTATCCAGTTTTTTTTCTAGATTTATTATCAGGTATTCAAGCAACTAACTAATTCGGATCAAAGTTTGTTTTATATTTTACGATTAAGGTGCATTTAGCATCTCTAAATATTTTAAGGTGTATTTAGCGTCCCAAAGTATTTTGAGGTGAAATTTTGTCTATAACACATTAAAAATGAATCAATTTCACCCTCCCTGCTTTCCCTCACCTTCTTCTTCTCCCTCAACTTCCATGTGGAACTCGATGACAAACGAGTGGCTTGCTTGATAAAGACCCAGAATTAAAAGTTTCATTATGATAGAAGTAAAGATGGAAGGGTGGCAAGCATTATTGCTGATTGTTATGAGCATAGCGCTGACGATGCTATTCGCAAAGCTTCTATTTGATTTCATGTGTACTATAATCTGTAGAACCAAAACAGATAATCAATGGGAGTACTAGATGTTACTGCATGTATCTCCTATTCGTAAAGCTCTGTATCAAAACCAATCCAAGTCCCTCTTCTTGTGCTCTAAAGTTACATACATACATATATTTATCTTAGCTTTTCCTTTAAAATTGCATATATGGAAATGGCGTAGAGGGTGTCCGTGTTCTTGTTGGAGTGAGAAATTAAAACATCATGCCTTTTGGTGCTGTGCAAGCTCTCTTTTGATTCTTTGCCTATGAAAACAAGGGTGGCAAATAAAGCATTCAGTCCGCTTCAATGATAATTATAAAAGGACATGGGAGGGAATCTGCACCAGTGAGGGAGGAGGGTGTGTGGGGGAGTTGAGGCAAATCAGCAAGAGGAAGAGAAGGCCAAGAGAAACCCATGGGTAACGGACGTGCTGTTAGTAGGGAGGTTTTTCTTTTCTTTTCTTTTCTTTTGTTTTTTTGTTTTTGGGGTTAAAGTAGGAAGGGTCAAATTGATTATTTTTAACATGTGAGGGGTGAAATTGCACTCCAAAATATTTTAAGACGTTGTATACATAACAAAAAGTATCTCGGGATGTTAGATATACTTCAACCCTATATTTTATATAGAGACACTGTAAATTGCAATTTTTCTTAAAATATTGACTATTAATCTAAATGTATTTTTATTTTTATTTTAGGTTATGTATAATTTAAAATCTCATACAATTATATATAACAACTTGTTCTCTTTTATAATTTGATGCTCCTCTGCATACTTGAAAGTTAAATCTACTTCAAAATTTATTACTCCATGCATCTTGTATATTAGAAGTTATTTTAATAATACTTGCCATTTTTTACACTTTTTTAATAAAGTCAATTTAATTAAAAAAATAATATGAGTACATTAAAAAGTTGGCCTATCACATTTGGGGGGTGTTTGGATGAGGCAAAACCATGGCTTAGAGAATAGCTTTTGGAAAATAGATTTTGGAGAGAATGGATTTTGAAAGAATAGATTTTCTAAAAAAATGATTTTGATAAAGTGAGAGTGTTTGGATAATTGTTGTCAGAAGTGTTTTTTCATATGTAAAAATTACTAAAAGGGACACAAGTTTAAATGATAATTACATGTAAGATATATTTTATAATATATGTTTATTTGAAGTAATAAATTTGTTAATAATATATATTTTGGCAACATAATAAATAAGACATAAATAATATAAATAATAAAAAATTAATGTGTATATATATTAATAAAATAATTAAATATGGTTTTAGGAAAATGATTTATTTTGCCAAAAAAATATTATTATTTCTTAAAAATTTTAAAGATGAAATCCCATAATTTTTTTCACAAAATTAAATAACCACAAAAAAAATTTCATATTAATTGTCTTAATAATAGAGGTTGCAACGAAATATATTTGTCTAAGTAGTTTTTTTTAGCAACACATTACATTATCTGAAAATAAAAAAGAAAATAAAAAGGACATGACTATTCTTGTATATAGTGAACAATTTGATCTCTCATGGAGTTACAAAGCCGAGCTATGTGAGATAAAGATTCTATTAATGAAGGTATTAAGACCTTGTCTACATATTAACTCTCCAATTAGGTTTTACATTAATGACCAGAATAATAATCTTACATTTAAGACCAATATTAACTCTCCAATTAGGTCTTACATTAAAGACCGGAATAATAAATTTATTAATTTTTTTTGCCAACATAATAAACAATGTATAAAAACATATACTAATTACTATATCCAGTTCTAAATGTAAGAGTTAGTTGACTAATTTGAGTAGATTAAAAAAATAAGTTAAGTTAATTACTTGTAATAAACAGGTGTTGCCTTTCCTACAATATCCCTATTCATCAAGTTTATTGGTTATAACTTGAAAAACGATAGACAAATATGAGAAATAAAATAGATTGGGGTTTTATATTTAGGACCAAATAAAAGTCAAATGAGGTTTTATATTAAAAACATGATATAGTAATTGTTAATATGTGTATATATAATTATAAAATATAAGATAATGTTTTTAGAAAAATAAATAATTGTTTTCAACCAAAAAAAAATTACCATAGGGGGTGGGGGGGGAGAACCACTCAAAAAGAAATTTTTTTTTGCTTATTACAAAACCTTGGTTTTGATAGGCAAACCATGGTTTTATCATAAAACCATAGTTTCAAAAAATTGATGGGTGTTTGGATAATTTTTTCCCAAACCATGGTTTGGGCAATCATCCAAACACCCTCTTGGACAATTTGAGCAAAGGTCAAATTACCCAAATGATCAGGCTAGCCCAGAACCAGAATAACAAAAATAGAAACCCAACAATACAAACTGCAACAAAAAAAATTAACAACGAAACAACTGGAAA